CCCCTGCGCCAGCCCCGGAAGCGGCGGTTGAACCGTGAGGCGGCGCCGCGGCCCCCAGTGCCGCTCGTGGCGCTCCCTGGTCGGAGGTGGTTGGTGTTTTGTTTTGTTCCATTCATTTGCTCTGTAGTCATCATCTTTGGTGCTCCGAGGTGAAACTGGTTCTCCAAGGATGGTTTCTTTTCAACTAGCCTCTTTTCTGTTAGTTGGATAATGGTTCACAGTGGTGATCTCCATGCTACCAAATCAGCTGAATATGGAGTGTCTTGTTGATGCACAGTTTCTCCATCCAGTTTACTTTTAAACTTTCCTGAATGTGTAATACTACAACTTGTTAGCACAGCATGGACCGTTTTAGGTATATCTCAGTCTTATAGCACCTCTGCGTTTCCCCTCTCACCGAGGGAGCATGGGGGGCTCACCGCTAACGGTGCAGTTCCATTCGGTAGATAAGACATAATAGGAATAAAGACAGCAGACTAGAGCAGCATGTACTTCAGACTCCAAAGGGAAAGTTGAGGATGCTATGGACAACGTAATGAATTGATAAGGTGTTTCCTACATGCTTCAGAAAACATCTATGAGTTGAGATACAGGCTAACTTTTAAAGCACTGCAGAGGCCCTTCAGAAAAAGCTCTCCCTCTTTTTTCAAGGCTAATTTGGTTCTTTCAAGGAAGAGTGGAAGTTTTAATGACCAAAGGACACAAAGATACCATAAAATACAGGATTATTCTGTTCAAAAAGATATCACTTAAATTCGGTCTATAGTATTACTGCTTTGCTTTCTCCAGAGGAAAAAAAAAAAACCTTTAAAAAAAAAAAACTTTTGCCTTTTTTCTCTAATATGCTGGTCTATTTGATAAAGGTGTTTTTTTTTTTTTTGGTTTGTGTTTTAGTGCTAATCTCATTAGGCTCAAGTGTTTGCAGTCTGGCAATATTTGAAAAAGGCCCATATTTGGTGGAATGTCTGTGAGCCAGGGGGCAAGGAGCCAGCACAAGCAGCAGCATTTGGCTCCTATCCTTATACAGGATCTTAGTCTTGTCAGAGCATGTTTTACCACCACATCATGTGTTTCTGCTGGGGCCACGTTTACCTGACATAATCGTAAAGTAGTAGAGGTCACTTGCACGTAAACTAAATTAACAATAGCAGTGATAATGCCATAATGAATGAAACCAGACTGAGAATTCAGGGTGCTGGCACAGCACACATGCAAATAAGCGAGCAGCCTTTGCAAGGAATAGTGACTTGCCAATGTACAGTTTGCTTCAAAGTGGCATCACTGTTTTCAGAAATGGGTAAATGTGGGTAACCTCTATACTGGTATAAGATAAAGTCATGACATAACTAGACCGTTATTTGAGGAGGGTCAAATATGCCTGCATTCTTTTCACAGCTGTTTTTTCTGAATTATTTTTAAGCACTTCCTGTGAAATATTTTGCTTAAATAGATGTTCTGCCATTTATCTTACTCAAATAATTGAAAATTTTCTTGTTTTCATCAGGTTTTCACCTTCCTTCCAGTAAACTAAGCCAAATATTTATTGCCCAGTCTTTTTAGATAACATGACTATGTGCTCTTTATTGTATCCTTGTATTCTTTAAATGGGAAGAAAAATGGATACAATATAGAGCACACGATCCCCCTTTCATCATTTTCCTCAGGACTTTCTTTCCCTCTTAAATTGCCATGTCTAAAAATAGTTGCTGTATTCAAGCTGCGACTTCAGCACTGCTAAATAGAGCAGAATAATTGTCTCCCATGAGGTGCTCACTACACTCCTGTTACTCATGACAAAAATTAAATTTGCCTTATTTTCCATTGTCATATTGATTTGTGACTACATGTTTGTGATTCACTTCAACTGTAGATCCTTTTTTGCAAAATCCTATCATTTCTAGCTGTCTTCCGTAAGGTTATATGGGCCACATTTCTGTAAAGTCATTAGCAGGTTCTAAGATGTCCCTGGAGTAGAGATCCCTGCCTGACCAGGGCGTCCACAAGCACATGAAAAGAAAGATCCATTAGCAGCTTTGCAGCAAAGCACTTTTTATGTCATATAGGATTTTCTCTGGGATATCTTACCAGCAAAATTCTCTGCTTTCTTCCACAGACAGCTCAGTTGCTTAGCTCTCTTGCTGTGTTTTAGTGACAAACTTGTGCTTTGTTTTTTTGTCAAACTTTCTTGTAACCCAGTATTGTAGTAAAGGCTCTATAAACATTTATCATGTAAACCAGCCAATGACAAAATATCAGGTCAATATTCATCAACAATTGAAAAAGCTAATACAGTGTTAGGAATGCCAAATAGCTGACTTGTTGCTATTGTGATTGTCTGGAAATATTGGCACTGTTTGCCATGTCACTACCCTGAATGCTGCAGGCAGTCCTGAGCATCCCATCACAAAAGGATTCATGAACTAGAAATGCTCCTCTGCTTTTCTAGAAGCACTGAGGATAAACATAAGGTTATAGATACAAAGAGCCCTAATAGGTGATATCAGAGATCTGCCTAATACAGGGCTTTCTAAGAGTGACCAAGAGAAGACTCTAGGAACAGAAGACTCTAGGAAAGTCCCTTTGTACCGTACTCTCCCAGCCTCCACTAAGTTGTGAGTAAAGTAAGGAAAATCTATGAGGAAGAGTTAACTAGATGGTTTAGCTTAAAGAAACATCTGAGTGGGGTCATGATACAGGAACACAAATCATAAATCCCATGGAAAAAAGTGCATGAAGAATGGATATATACTGTTTTGTGTAACAAGTTAGGATACTCCTAATGAATTTCTCAGGCATCCAGTTTTTAAACAATCTAACCCATTTCATCTAACACAGAAGCAAACTATATGATGCAGTTCACTTGCATAAATATTACTTATGCATAAGCCTACTTAAGTTAATTAGGAAACTCCTTTCTGAAGGTTGTTGTGGATGTTAGCAAAACTAAAGATCAAATAAATTAGACCTTATAAGGGAAAAGGTCTTGTCTGTTTGGGTCGCAACATGCAAAACTGTACACAGAGTTGTTCCTCTAGAAAGCTACAGGGCATAGACAGCTGGAAGGTGAGAGGAGTTTCTGTGCTGCCTTCTCCCCTCCTTCGCATTCAGAGATGAGCTCTGCCAAAGCAAGCTGGGCACCAGCTCTGACACTGCAGCTATTTTGGGGATCCCTTGTTTCAGCTTCTGTGATCTCTCTGGTCACTACCAGCCTGGGTATTTTTTAAGGCCAGATTGCATACACCTGCTGTGTAGGCCATGGCTGGAGTTCGTTCTCTCTGCTACTCCAGCTGCCAGCAGTGGCTCACCTGGTGCCTTTGCCATGAGCTTCAAGTGAGGATAGATTATGCACTCCCAGGAGCAGAGCTAAAGTTAAAATATGATGCTAACAACCAGCATCTGTATCCTAACTTTTATCATCCCTTGGTTTTGATTTTATACATGTTACCAGAAGCTTTGTTAGGAGGGAGAAGGCACCCTGCAAGCTGCTCAAGTGATAGGGAGCAAAAAGGTGTTATAATAATCTTTGTTCTTTTACTCATCTTAGGATAAGATCACTTATTTTCCTTAATTAAAAACCTTTTAAAAATTACTGTCTTCCTTTAGATAAAGGTGATAAACACCAATATGCAAAGCCCTGTCAAAAGCATATGGGCCCCATGCGTTACAATATACAGTGCTATCCACTATAAATAAGATAATAATCTGACCCCTTATATCAGCCTTATGTTACAGAGCCATGACACATTGCAGGTACAGTTAGGCTCTTCTTTACTCTTCCACCACTAATATGCTGGGCTTCTGCTTTACATAGATTATATAAAGTCCTACACCTGGAGATGAAGTTGTTTATATTGGGCATTGGCAATACAAACTTAGCAGCCAGGTTACAGGTGCTCAGAGCTCCTTAGAGCCCATTATCAACAGAGGGGCAGCTTTAACAATACTTCCAAGGAGAGGCTAGCAACCAGTACTAACAGCCAGCTTCATGCTAAGCTAAGCTGCTGTGACCCTTGCGACCTGCAGCATAAAAATGCAGTGAGAGAAACAGCAAAAATAAGCTGTGCCTACAACATTGTGTTTGAATGCCTATTTTTTTAAACCTTTGAGTGAAACAGAAGCCTTTTTTTTGCTTACTTTTTTGTTTTGTTTTTTTCCCCTCCCTGATAGAGTAGTGCTTCTGCAAGTATGCTGGAGGAGGGAAAAAGAGACCCCTGAAAACCTATCTGCCTTTGCTTAGCTGCTTAATTCGCTTACAGGCTGCCTACACTTCTGGGGGGGCTAATATAATGACAGATCCTTCAGTGGTAGATCACATGGCTCAACTGAAACTCAAGCTCCTAGAAAAGGTAAGTAGCGGCTCTTATTTGCTCTGCTTTCTGCTGATGATGCTTAAGCATTAAAAAATTGTAATTTAATTATATTTCTAAGATAGAGACTCTGCTTCCAACTGCAAATCTTTTCTGCAAGTGAAGGAAGACCAACATGCATTAATGCTCTTTTGATATGATTGGAGATATCACCAGTTAATTAAGGCATCTGAGTTGTCACCAGTACAGGTTAGGAGTGAGTGACAGTGAAGGGAGGGCCTCAGGTGGTTTTAAGGTAGTCTCCTGTCTTCATTATTCCCTACTTTTCCAGACATTATACTGTTTAATGAAGCCTAGCTAGACCCTTACAGTGCAGAATACTAGTAGCTCTTTGCTTCAACTCTACACAGGTTCACTCAAGGTTCTCTGCTTGGCCCCATTCTTCTATCTGCAACCCATCTAATATCCACTAGTTTCCATCTTCTGTATCCCTGTCTCCCGGGACCTGCTTGAAAAATTGATTAGAAGGAAAGACAGTTTGCCTAGAGATACAAATGCTGGAACCAGCATCTAACCTCTATGGGGATTTTTTTTTTTTTTTTTTTGCCTTAGAGAAAGCGGTTTTTTGAAGGGAAAGCTTTTTGCTAGTATAAAGATATGCAGAACTTAAGAGCAAAGACAGAATACTATGTAAGTAAAAGGTCTTTAATTTCTGATAGTTAAAGAGCAGCAAGGGCTCTTTGCTCTCTGAGAAACAGGGAATTTGAGCACAATAACATAGAGAGAAGGACAAGGACCTAAGTAGCCAGGGTTTGATCCCACCGTACCTTGGTGAAACAAGCAGAGCAGATCTAGAAATGGTAGTCAGGTTCAAATAATCATTTGGATCACTAGGTAGTGCCCCAAGTCAAGCCAGGAAGTCAACTTACAGGTCAGAATTAATTGCAGTAACAGCTTGGTAGATCCATAGTAGTAATGCAGAGCTATAGACAGGAGGCCATCACTTTATGCTTCAGGTCCTGAATCAACATGACCTATAGCTATAAGTGAGACAGAAACCACTAATTCCCTT